GCAGAAGTGTGAGTGGATCTTTTTTTTCTTTTGGAGAAGAAAATTTCATAATGTTTTAGGACATTTTTCAGTTTTATTTGTAAGGAACGAATGTGATTGGTTAGTGTAAACGAAATGCAAGTGAAAGTACATTTCGAGTGCATTTTGCAGTGGGTGAAAATTTTGTGTGAATTTATTCACGGAATGGAAATTGTTTTGGTAAAGTAAAATATATTGGATTGAATGGTTAGTATGAAGTGTGAATAATTGTTTAGGAGTGGCACAGAGGATCAACAGTTGAGAGTGTTGTGCAGATACGTGAATGAGGCGGCGATTTGTCTCGAGGAGGAGGTGATTCAGTCACCGGTACGGTTCTTATTCTTTGACGGGTGGATTATATTCATATGATAGTCAGAATGAAATGAATGATGAAGTCGTATGAAAACGGATACCTTTAAAGGATCGTTGAGATTCAGTGATCGTTTTAAAATGTGGATAGATAATCGTGAAAGAGAATCCTTTCTGTTTGCACGTGTATCTTTTTGCGATCCGATGGTGTTCACGTGAGATTGTGATGTGATTTTGTTTCAGACGGCCGGTGATATCGCATCGATATTCGGCATCGGATTTCCGCCATTCTGGGGTGGTCCGTTCCGTTTCGTCGATCTGTACGGTCCAGAAAAGTTGGTCAATAATATGTCACGTTATGCAGACGCATATGGCGAAGAGCAATTCCGTCCTGCACAAATCCTCATTGATCATGCAAAGAGTGGCAAGAAGTTCTATAGAATTTAACAAGTGATCGAAGATTTCTGCGGGGAAACATTAAAAAATTAGGCAATGATTTCCCTTCGAAATATTGTTCAAATTCACATAAATTATTCAAGTTTTGAACTGGGAGATTCCTTGTAATTTCACGTTTTCACGTATAATTTTAAGTTTTCGGTTTAAAATGATGATAGCAGTTCGTTAAAGGAATCAATGGGACAATATGAACATAGTTTTAGACGTTGTTATGACATTGTATGGGTTACTATTGATGGTACTGTTAGGAGTATTATTATTGTTTTCGTTGTGCTGTTTTTTTAATGGTATTGGATCGACTGTTTTGTTATGGCATCGTTATCATCATCGTCAAAAATTGCTCATTGCTGTTATTTTAGTAATTTATCATTTTTATGTTACTATTATTATCATCGTAATTGTTACCAACATAAAGATATAAGCTAATTTATTGGTTCAGTTGTGAAATTTCATGATAAATGCATTATTTCATCCAATTCTTTATTCTGTCATCTGCTGACTTTCCGTGGAGTACGCTGTTAAAGTTGTGAGGAGATTATGCTTCGATTCGTTTTGTCTTTAAATTTTATTTATTTTATGTTCTATTTGAACGAAATTACACATGAATAAATTATTTCTTTCATTATTCTCGTTATAATGATGTATATTACAACTACAGAGTAAATTCTACCTTCATCAGTGAAGGATTTTGTTGCTATGGGATAACCGCTCAGTCTAACTAACTAACTAACTCGTTAATAAGTCAACATAAAACATCTAATCTGGCCAACTTCACTGTAATACTACTAGTTTGTCTATAAAAGTTCCGAAACAAAACCTCGCAGAATCAATCAATCAAACGAACAAAATCCACATGCATATCAAGACTATTGAATAAATAAATGAAAATACACACTAATCATCGATGTGATATGAATTTCATTTTATTCTTCATTAAGA